TACTAAGTTCTAATGAAAGTTAAGATAAACCTTGACATCCCAAGAGAATCTTGTGATGCTTTTTAAAAAGTTGAATAATTGTTAAGTAATTATTAAAATTTTGTTGTACATATCAGTGAATTACTGGAAAATTAAAAAAAAAGAGATACTTAATTTTAAGATATGGTACCTTATATAGTCCCTAACCCCCAAGACCTCATGCTTTTAAAGAGCTACCACTATGAAATTCAGCAGTGTGCAACTATTTCTCTTTTTTCTTTCACTCTCAATGGTCCATGCTGCACTGCTCAAATTACACGCTACCATGAATTACACCCAGCGTGGGAGATGGGAGAGTCATGGTTCAACCCTGACCATGCTCTTACTAACTGCGTGACTGAGGCCAGCTATGAACTGAGCAAGTTTCCTCCAAAAGACCAGTTCCTAGGGTTGTGGTCAATAGTGGCTGTGACCTTCCTCTTGACCATTTCCATTTTACTACAAGGTAAGTGAGACTCCAAGAGGTTTCCATGAACTGTTCCAGGCCATCCAGCTACAGAACGGCACTCTGACTGCATGTCAGGACTTCTGACTCATTCCACATCCATTCCTCTTTTCTGTGATAATTTTTTATTTGATGGTGATTTTCAATGGTAAATATTATTAAATTCTGACGATGATGACCTTTTTCAAACTGTGGATAAAATAAAAGTTTTTGAATAAAGGCAAAATAAGAGGACAGTAAAGAATAATAACTAGCAAAAATAGCACTGGAGGAACACTTAAATGGGTGAATTGGATGGTATATGAATTATATCTCAATAAAGCTGTTAAAATTAAATAAAAATAGTACTGGATGAGAAGCGAGTAATGTGGCACTAAAAGGGGTAAAATTGTGAGGAAGTTACATGTTGCTTCATTTTTCTTACCTATAAAATAGGGGTACTATGACCTATATGGTATTTCAGTACCAAATATCAATTCAGACAATATGAAATCCTGGATAGTGAAATCCATCACAGTGCACAAAAGTTATACTACACTAAGATGTCACTGAAAAATTGTGAATTAAGGCCTCCCTGGTGGCCTAGGGGTTGAGTCTCAGTGCTATCACTGCAAGAGCCTAAGTTTGATCCCCGGCCAGGGAGCTATCCCATATGGCACAGCAGACCTCTCTTGTCTCACCTGCTGCTCCCTTTAGCAGTGTATTTCAGTGGATCTGCCTGTTCTGCTCCCCACTCTGTCTCTGGTGAATCCTCTCACTCCCCCACCTCTGGTCTACATCCCAGTTCTTCCATGCAAAAATAAATAAATAAAATCTTTTAAAAAATGAGAATTATATAGATGACTGGATCAAGAAGATGTGGTACATATACACAATGGAATATTACCCATCAACCAAAAAAGATAAACACATGCAGTTTGCAGCAACATGGATGGAGCTAGAAGGGATCATGCTTAGCAAAATAAGTCAGAAAGAAAAAGAAAAATACCGATGGTCTCACTCATAGCAGAAATTTAGAAAACCTAAATAAGGGACCAGGAAAAAGACTAATTATAATAAATTAAAAATCAAAACCAACAAGCAACTATAAACCAGAGTCACACCAGACACACTACAGGGTGGGATGGGTGCGGGTGGGGGGTGGGGTGGAGGGAGGGGGATTAGGGCCAAAATAAGGGGGTGGGAATTGTATGGGGAATATATCCAAAATGAAAATTCATACATTGTGCAAAAATGAAAAATGATGTAAGAATTATATAAAATAAAATACTGAAAAATGAGAATTAAAGGACTTTACTTCTTATTTCTTAAAATTATTTATTTATTTGTGCATACAAGAACTGAAATAAGGCTAGGGGTGTAGGGGGTGAGAAGATTCACCAGAGACAAAGTGGGGAACAGAACAGGCAGATTGACTGAAATATATTGCTGAGGTGAGCAGGAGGCAAATCAGGAGAGGTCTGCTGCGCCATGTGGATCACCTCCCTGGCTGGGGATCAAACTCGTGCTGCAGTGGCTGCGGAAGCCATAGTTTTATAGGTTGCGTCTTAACCCCTTGCGCCACCTGGGAGGCCCCCTATTTCTTCATTTCTAATGACATCTGAGTCTCCTAAAATATACAGGGAAAAAAGTCTACCCCAATGGACAAGCACCTGCTCATGAGGTCATCCCTCCTAAAGAATGAAGTCACCAAAAAATCAGCAGCAGGACGTTCTGGAAAGCACAGATTACATGAGCTTACTTCCCTGTGGCACAGTTAACAACATAATCTGGAGGATCCATTCTCCAAATCAAGGGCTTCCTAATCCATTAGCACAACAGGTTGGTAGAGAGTTCTGTTTTACCACTCACATGAGCCAAAGAATGAAAATAAACACAAATGTGGCCAGAGTAATCTGAGCTGACAACAGAATCCCAAGTCGGCTCAGGTTCAAAGGCACACACTCTGCTCCAGACTCGGAAACAGACCTCCTGGATTTCCTTCCCATTTTATGAAGGAAATGTTAAATGAAATGTTGCCTGTTTTCTCTTGTAATAGGAAGACTATTTCCACTTTCCAAATTCCCGATTTACTGGTTTTGTAGAAATGAAACATCAATACCAAGGGCTTTAAACAAGCAAGCACCAAAACATGATTTTCCACTGTTTTTAAAAGAGTGAGGTCATTCTTGCCCCAATTTCTGCATAGTGGTAAGCTTAAAATCAAGCCATTTAGCTCACAGTCAGGTCCAATAAATCAGTGGAAAAAATAAATGGGAAAGCATGCCAAAATGTAACCATAGTAACACCACAGATGTGTCAAGAAATGGTGTGCTCATTGCTTCATTCCCCATTTCTTAAATTGGAATCTAAGTAGGGGAAAAATTACACAGAGAACAATTGTGATTCTGCAATTACTGAATTCTGCAAATTTGCATTCAACCTGTTGTACTAGGACTTCAGAGGCAACTCTAGACCAGCTACAAAAACAGCCCTGAATGGCTTAAGCATAAAAGATTTGGATGTGCCATTTACTGGTTACTTGATCTCTGTGACTCAATGTTTCCTCGTTTGTAAAACGGGTGTTAAAAATTGCAAATTCAAAGAGATAGTCTCAGAGCAAAATTGGAGAGGTTTTAAGAGTCAAGGCAATGGGCTCGGGTGCCCTGAAGCCCTGGTCACCTTTTAGCCTCACCTTTGTGCCTTGATTTCATGACATATAAAAATAGAATGATAACCAATGATTCACCTATGGGATTAAAATTAGGAATTATTATTAATCCACATGTAAAGAATTCTTATTAGGATAATAGTTTTCAGTTTCAATGCTGAAAAACTGCAAGAACTGAGAGCCAGAGATTCACACTAATACATGCTCCAGTTCTCTCCAGAAAATGCAGCTCTGCTGCTCAGCAGGAAGAGGCAACCCTGGGGCACTGGTTCCACGACATGCAGTCAACCTCCTTTCCTCTTGGACCCTCCACTTTATTAATTAGTAATAAAGGTGAGGGGGCTATTCTAGAATGTGATCTCTAAAGATTCCCATGTAGACTTACAGTACTTGAAAAATCTATGAGATGCCTAGATTAGGTTTATTATTCATCAGTGGTATCAGGAAACATTGTCAGTCCAGCATATCAACTGCAAAATACTTTTAAAAATTATAGTACACAAATGATAGAAAGAGGTGGGATACCTTCAATTTCAAAGTATTCGCCTTTCTTTTTCTTAAGATTTTATTTATTTTTGCATAGAAGAACTGGGGTGCAGGTTAGAGGTGTCGGGGTATGAGAGGATTCACCAGAGACAGAGTGGGGAGCAGAACAGGCAGACTGACTGAAATACACTGCTGAGGGGAGCAGGGGGAGAGACAGGAGAGGTCTGCTGAGCCTATGTGAGCTAGCTCCCTGGCCGGGGATTGAACTCAGGTCAGAACACAGGCCAGAAGGGTGGTAGCAGTGCTGAGACTTAACACCTAGGCCACCAGGGAGGCTCCATTCCTCCTTTCTTTTGTAGATTAAAAAGTATTATTTCATAACTATAAGAAAGTGAAAATCAAAATCAACAAACAACTATGAACCAGAGACACTCTATGGGGGATGGGGGGTGGGGAGGGGAGGGATTGGGGTCAAAATAAGGGGATTGCAATTGTATGGGGAATATAAAAATAAAATTTTTTTTAAAAAAAAGTATTATTTCAAATGCTGAAGGACTGGGTAACAGAGAGGAATGAAGAAAATTCCCAAGTAATAAAACCAGAATCATTCTTTCATCTTGTTTTAATTAAGTCAAATAATTGTGTAGCTTCCCAGGAATCCGACCTATTCTTTAGCTGTATAGGAACATGGTAATGGGTGAGCTGTAAATTTACATTCCCCTGCCTCTTTGCTTCTCTCCTTCCCCTTAACACAAATATCCTGGTTTCACAATCCTTACGTTCAATGTCTTTTTCCCCTCAGATTTGGTCTGAGCAAATGATTTTAGTTCCTTGGGATATTTAATCAGCGGACACCGCTTCTTCAAACAAAATTATATGTGATATTCTGGTTTAGGAGTTAAATAGAGTTGTTGAACAGAAAGCATGAGGAGGATGAGAGCATCCACTGAGGCATTCCCTTTGCTGAGACCAGGCTGAAGACCTCGGTTGCTTTACTCTATTGATAACAATGATGCTTACAGCTTACAGAAGCTTAGACCACGCCAATACTTTGCATACTATTTCCATGCGTCATCCACTTAATCCTCATAACAGTATTATGAAGTTAGCATGACTGAGATGCCCTTTTCACTGACGTGAAAACTGAACCTTACAGAGAATACATAATTTGCCCCGCATTACAAGTTTGTCAATGGCACAGACAGAACTCAAAAGCAAAGCAGTTCACCAAGATGCTGAATATTCCATTGTCAATTATGATTCCTAGACTTAAAGTGTCACTACAAGGACAAGCTGCCAAGACCAGTTATTGAGCCCTCTTTCTCCCCTAACTTTTCACATGCCCAACCATCAATAAGTCACCCCAGTTTGTCTACTCACAAGGCACAGCATGGCGGTAAAGGTTATCCCTTATGGTCTGCTGGAGCTCATGATCAGGAGACCCTTTCTGGAACCGCTGATTAAGAAAATGTCGCAGGTCCTTGTTCAGCTTTCCTCCTGCAGGAAATACATAAAACAGACAGAACACATCAACAATAGGGCTTCCTAGGGCCTGTGAGCTGTATGCAGGGCAGTTACAGGAAGAAATTCTACTGCCACTCTTACTCATTTGGAGGACTTATTTTAGGTTTCCTCTGCAGAGGAAAAAGCAAGCAAGCACGTAATAAAGATAAAACAGCACTGAACAGCATTCATTCTGGGGAGGGGGATGTCATTTCACATAATAACAGAAGGTTAAAATGACAAAGAATAGGCTCTTACATTTACAAAATGTGCCATAGACATTCAAAGATACTATTAGTGGGGAAAGTAAATGCCTGAATACTTGACAAATTACAGAATGTTCATTGACCAAGGATCCAACTGGTAGCAATCTATGCTATAGATATGCTTGCAAACATCTGCCAAAGTCTCCAGTATTGCATACTGTGGCATTTTTATACAGCCAACTAGACAAATGAAAACAAGAAACTACCACCAACAGTCAACTAAATAAAGCAGAGGTCACCCATGTAATAACTACTCTGCATAAGCTAGATTTTTATGCGCTAATATTGCAGGAAAATATGTGGAGTAGTGTATATAGTTTGATCTTGTTTGTGTAAAATTTATGAAGAACAGGACAGATCGTGTATTAACGAAGGTAATTATTAGAAAGTATTAATAGCAATTTCCTTTAGGGAGAGGATTTGAGATTGGGAAGTGTCATGATTTGTTACATAAACAGATAAGAGATACATAAAACTTACTGTCCTGTGATGATTTGCAAACATCAGATACATAACTCCTTTTTTATTATTATTTAAGCAATAGATATTTGGCTGGATTTATATGTCTATTTCCTTGTAATTCTCTTAACAAAACAAAAACAGTAGTTGAAAAATACTGTTTGAAAATTTTTTTATACAAAAGAGAAAGTATACTCCTTTAAAAATCATAAACTTAAATAATAATCTACAGGATCAAGTTAGCTAACATTTTTAATGGAGACAGATGCTACAAATATCAAGGCCAAGATGGTCCTTCCACTTTTAGACAAGATAAAAATTAGGCAAGATCATTTCTAGCCTAAGAGAAACAGTTCAGTAATGTAACAGTTTAGTAATGGAAGCATAAAATTCATGACTTCAGATGATAACTTCCTCATAGTCAAAAAGATTAAATCATGGAATGACAATGATGGTTAAGATGATGATATGTCTGACCTGGGACAGGAAACTACTGATTTTTAAATTTAATATCATGTTCAAAACAAGATTACCTGCTACAGTTGATTATTTTAGAATAGACCAAGGAAACCCAATATGTACTAATTTATTTGGTTTGTATTGTATCTAAGGTTTTGAGTGACCTAAAGGAAAATACACATATTTGAGTCAGTCTTAGGAAGCTCAATAAATATTAATCATTCATCAAATATTTCAAGACTCACCTTCCCTATAACCCCTAGCCCAAAAGGGCAAAAGAACTTGGAGTTCACGAAAGAGCATATATAACTGGCCATTAAGCACATAGAAAGATAGTCACCATATTTAACTATCAAAGGAAGAAATTGAAGCCAAAATGAATCCCACTACATATATCCACTAGAACAGCAAAATTTAAAAAGATTGATAACGTCAAGTGTTAATAAGATTGCGGGAGCAACAGGAACTCTTACATGCTGCCAGTAACAGTACAAAGTGGTTCATCCTCGAGGGGGAAAAAAAAATGTGGCAGCAACTTAAAAAGTTAAACCTTTACTAATTAAATGACCCAATATTTCCACTGCTATGTATGCAAGAAAAATGAAAACAGGTACACATACACACAGAGAGATATACACACATATACAGAGATAAATCTTTATAGCAATTTTACCCCTTATATAATAGTTCTATATTATAGATAACCCAACTATCCATTAAGAAGTGAATAGATAAGCAAACTGTATTATATTCAAATAGGAGGCTAAACAACAATTAAAAGGAGCAAACAACATAATACTAGTATACACTACTACTATGCCATACATATAGTACTAATACAATAATATTGATGAAACCCAAACCCAAAAGACTGAGCAAAGAGCTAAATTCAAAATAGAACATGCACTATTGCTGGATTTATATAAGTTTTAAAATAGGCTAAACTAATTTACAGTGACTTTGAGGGTAGGCAGAGATTGACTGCAAAGAAGCAAATGAGAATTAGATCCAGAGAATGTACTAATGTCAATTTCCTGACTTTACTACTATTATGTGCCATGTAAGTTACCACTAGGGGGAATTGGGTAAAGTTTACAAGGGCTCTGTAATTTTTAAAAATTTCCTGGGAGTCTGCAATGCTTTCAAAATAAAAAAAGGATTTAAAAAGAGCACAAGTAAACTTTTGAGGGGATAAATCATAAAGTATATCTTGGTTGTGGTAGTGAGAACATGGATTTGGTTGACAAAAGTTATGGAAGTATATACATAAATGGGTACATTTTATAATACGTAAATCATATTGCAATAAAATCATTTTCAAAAGTTTAAAATATACATAAATATTGAATGACTATACATTACACTGTTCTAAATGCCTATGTCTCAATTTTCCAATAGAGTCAAAATGAAGGAAAAATAATCTTTGCAAATCTTGCCAGTTAAGACAAACAGGCTTAGGTTTAAATTGTGGTTCCATAACTTATCAGCTTGATCCCATGTGCACTGACTAATCTCTGAACTTCACATTTCTCATCTGTAAAAATAAAGCATTGGTATGACAGGGGCTCTGTCACAAAACTGTTATGAGAATGGAAGAAGACTCAGACAGTGTTTTGTAAAAATAAAGCCTCAATGAAAGATGTAAATTATCATAATTAGAATGGAGAGTGGACAAATTACTGAGGCAAGTGGGGAAAGAACCCAAGTCAGTCCAAAGTGGAATGCTTTTCTTTTTTAAAATGCACACCAAATATGAAACCAGTCATATTAATTTAGAAATAGCCAGAAACAAAACAGACCTAGAGAAATTTGGATTGAACGATATTTCTGGAGTTTCTGGAGGGGAAAAAAATCTACTTGTGCTAGCATGGCCTGGACACATGGAAACTGGATGACAAATAATTTGTGGATATGAAATATATTTCTGGCACAGTACTGGAATTGAAGTTCAGAAGATGAAACCAACTGGTAAACACTGGTATTTGAGAGTCACACCTGTCAACCTTTAGTTATAGGCACTCTGAAACTTGAACAAAAAGATAAAAGTATTTACCAGCAAATTCTGCATTGCCCAGAACCTAGGGTTTTATATTCCCCTTATGAGAGCAGAGTTCCAGACTGTAAGAGACATATTTGAGCAATGATTAGCGGAGATGCCTACAGCATTCAAATGTACTGCAAGAGTCAAAAGCGAAATTTAAAAAAAAAAGATTTGACAAACATTCTCCCTATCCCGTATATAACATGGCTCACATACGTTTATGGGTCCTATGTGATACCTAGTAGCTTGGAAGCCACTCTTAAGACACTGACGCTCTTGGTTTCTACTTGAGCTTTACATTAAAACTAGCTAAGCTAGCTAAAGTTTATAATCATCAAACTAAAACACTTTTCTATTGCGGATGTACAAAAGGGCAAGGTTAACTACGCTGCCGGTTAACATTTACTCTGTGTTCCGTGACATTTGTAAAGGAAAAGTCTCAACTTTTGCATTACATTAAGAATACTGTACTTTTTGGCATCTAATCTCAAATTAATTGCCAATTATTCAGGGGACATGTCTATAAATTTTCTCCTAATTGTCGAGGGCAGTGAGCCAATGAAATAATAAATTGCAAAAGGAAGAGTTTGTCATAGTATCTTCACTTTCTTTGAAAATCAAGATTTGTTTTTGCAAATGGAGAAGAGAACATAGGTCAGGAAAAATGTAGAACTTTTTCCAAGGAAAGGATTCAGAGCTTATTTTAAGACCATTTACTAACTTAAATGGGCAAAAATGGGCTTAGACATTGTCCAGGTTTTACCATTATTTTATATATTCATCTTATCAATATATTCAGAATTTCACATTGTAAATTTAAAGCAATCTACTGCTACCTTACTTATTAGCTTATGTAAATATAATCATCAATTAATGCAATGTTTGTTATTTTGTGTTGTATAATATTCCATTTTGAAATACACCAAAATATATTTCTCCTTCATAGAATAATAGGCTATCTCCACTTTTTTTGAGAATACAACAGTGATGCAATACATGTCATGTGATTCCATTTTTCCCCACAAGTATGCTTTTTTTTTCACTCTTGACTATCTAAATCTGGAAATTACATAGAAATCTTACCTAGATGTTGCTAATTTTTTCTCCAAAATCGTGGTTCCAATTTACCTTTTCACAAAGAGTATTAGAAATCCTGTTTCTCTACACTGAGATCAATATTTGCAATTAAAGGTGTATCAGGGGTCCAGGACCATGTCCAAATATGCTGAACAGGAGGATTCTCAGGCTGCTGCAGATAAATGTACTCATGTCTATGCTCTATTATAACAAAAAAGTGACAAAGCAAAATTAGCAAAGGAAAAAGGTCAAAATATCCAAAGGAAATCAGGTGCAAACTTCCAAGAGTCCTCTCCCAGTGGACTTACTCACTTTACTACCTATGCAATGAGTGTGAAAACATGTATAAAAAGTCCATCAGGAAAGTTCATGAAACACTAAGAGCCTGCAGTGTTTTTTTTTAAAGATTTATTTATAAAAATAAATATATAAAATTTTATATATTTTTTATACAAGCCAGAAGTGTGCGTGTGTGTGTGTGAGAGAGGATTCACCAGAGACAGAGAGGGGAGCAGAACAGGCAAATTGACCTAAGTACACTGCTGAGGGGAGCAGCAGGTGAGAAGGGAGAGGCCTGCAGTGCCATGTGGGTATTTCCCTTGCTGGCTGAGAATAGAATCCATACTACAGAGGCTGTGGACAGCTTCACAGCACTGCGCTCAACCCGCTGTGCCACCAGGGAGGCCCAAGAG